GCCTCCGAGCAGGGCCTTCCTTCTGAGGAGGGCTTGGACGGAAACGCTTTTCCAGGTCTCCTCCGGGAAGTGAAACCCTTCTTAGGCCCGTCTTTACAAAAGTGACTTCTCTGACCAGAAGTACTTCTCCCCCAGGTACTACGTGCAAGGAGTGTGCCGGGAGGGAAGCAAGTGTCTGTTCTCACATGATTTATCTACAAGCAAATCGTCTACTATCTGCAAGTACTACCAGAAGGGGCAGTGCGCCTATGGAACTCGGTGCAGGTAAAGGCCGGGCTCTTTTTGGAATTAGTGAGTTCAGAAGAACTGGGCATAACCATTGCGTGTGGTCAGCTTTAAACCCCGGGGAATCCAGGATCAAGAAAAGATAAGATGACGGAGGGAATGAAATAATATATTAAATAGGAGCTTTTTCTCCTTACGGATCCAATAGTATAGTTTCACTCTGTCTTGGCTTCAGCAATTATTTTACGCCGTAGAAATTAAACTTTAGGTTTCACATACGTTTTTCATCCAGTTCTTTCTATAGACCTGTTACGTGAAATAGCATTTGGCGGCGTGGTTGGCTTTCCACGTCACTGAGGTGGTGGCAGCGGGCAGTGTTTCAGCAGCGCTTCCCTCCGTTCTCCTCGTGCAGCTCGTAGCCTCCTTCCTGCAGATTCTAATGCACAATTTTGAGGACTTTCAATTCTGTCTTAGAGCAAAGTGCTTTTCTCATGCTCCCCAAGGTACCGCACCTTTTCCGGAAGTCTCCTGGTTAAAACTCGTTGAGCAGTGCTCTAGTAAACACTGCGTTAGTTAATGCTGTTACGTTCCACCAGGGACGTGCTGCAGAGCAGCCCGTGGCTCCTTCGTGGAACAATTCTGGTCACGGGTGAGAAGCCCTGACAAGAACAGGGGGTCTCACGGCGTTGCTGTGATTGCAGCGGCTTAGTCGTGTTTCCTTTGCTTAGTGCACGGCCCCAAACTTGGATCAGGAGATGGAACGTTAGTGATTTCTGCAGCTTCCCTTAGCTGCTCGCGTTGAATTAGTGCTGTGCGACACTGCCGACGGCTGGGTTATTTGTGGGGGCGACGTCATACGCTGACTGGACTGTAACGACAGCTGCAAAGTGTGTTGCTGTTTTACTCCAGCTGTTTGGGGCACTTCGCACATCAGCGATTCGTGCACAGGGCACGTACGGGTCCTAAGTACGGCACCAGAAACAGATAGGGAGAATATGTTTGTTCCCATCAAAATATTCTAGCACTAAGGTACATCTGTGGCTTCGTTGGCCCAGCCTCTTTACTGCGCTGATTGTTTCCGCTCTGCTGCCGGAGCGTATTTCCATCGCTTTGCCGGATGTTTCCTATCCCATGTGCAAATGCCGCGTCGTCTCCTGCGGTGTGGGAACATGGCGTCTAAGTCTGGCTGCCTGCGGGGGAAACAGAGATCGTGAAGTGTCACTGCGTCCTGCACAGCGTTTTGATGTTGCTGCTCTGAGAAATGCCAGCAAACCTGTTTGTGTGGGGGGATGATGAAGATCTAATTTAATATGCACGTGAATAATGTGCATCTTTCAGCTGTGCTGGGTGTCTCTGCAGAAGAAAATACAGGTGTGCTTTCAGACATCCATTTGTTGTGACTGAGAAACCTTTTAACGTGGCTTTGAAAGAGACTGAGCAGTTCAGTCAACTTCTCAGAACAATCCTAAAAAAAACAAAAAGTAGCTACCCAGTTTTATTTTGTTTAACTGTTCCTGCCACTGTGCCAAGTTTAGCCTTTATAACGCTTGTTCTGTCCTTTTCCTTTCGCAGGTACGATCACACTCGACTTCCCGCATCAGGGGCCGCAGCAGCCCCTGCGCCGCCTCCCCTCTCGTCGGCAGCGCTGCACAACCCTCGCCACCCTCCCGAGCACAGCGCGCCGATAATCAGGAGCAAACTGCACGAGACTGGCAAACGGGAGAAGAAGACGCTGGTGCTCAGGGACAGAAGTGAGTGGGAGCGGTGCGGTGCTCGTTCTGCCTGGTGCTTGACGGGAGTTAGGTAGTTTTCCTCCTTTTACTACCTGACTTTCCTGCACAGCCAGAGAGGTCAGACTTCCCACTCGATGAAGCCTCTTCCTGGAAACGCTTCTGCCTGCAGTACCTTTCAGTGACGCCAGCTAGCCGACTGGCTCTTCGCTCGGTGTTCCCTGAAGGATGGGCTTTGTTTTGGGGGGATTTTTGGGCACCCACCCACGCCTGACAGGCAGGGCAGAGGAGCTGAGCCGTGCTGCGGCCTGCACGCTGTTCCTGCCTGCTCTCACTGTTGCCCTCACGTAAAGTGGGAGAATTTTCTTATCCTATTTGTAACAAGAAAACAGCTGAAGAGACCTTGAAATTGGACTTTTGAGTAATTTATAAAAATTCTTGTGATTTGTGAGCAAAAGGGGCTTAGGGATGAGATTTCATTGAGAAGAAATTTTTTTTTTTTTTAAAAACAAAAACCTGGTAATCATTGGGAATAAAGTATATGGAGCTTCTCGTGTGGGTTTTGTGCAGTGTCCTGTATGGTTCATATTATGTTTCCGTTTCCTTAGATCTGCGTGGCTTGAACGAAGACAAGCAGAAACCCAGTGCCACGAGCGATGTGGTGTGTTGCAGTGACCAAAACGATAATCTGGAAGCGAAGCCCCATTCGTATTTGGAAGCTATTTGCAGCGGACTGGAAGATCCGGTGGCTGGAAGCTCCTGTGCTGAAGGAGAGCAGCTGTGTCCTTACGCGGCAGCGGGAGCGTGCCACTTTGGAGATCGCTGCCTTTACCTCCACGGAGACGTGTGTGAGATCTGTGGATTGCAAGTGCTTCACCCTTTCGACCAAGAACAGAGGAAGGCTCACGAGATGGTAGTATTAACGTGAAATCCGTGTGAGATTTGTTTTGCTCGGTGCAAGACTTGGTTTGTTTGCCCTAAAAGCCAAAGACGTGTTGCGTAGAAGAGCTTGTTCTTCCGAAGAGCTTTTGTTTTATTGTTTATCTATAAAATGATTCTAAGAGTGGTCTGTTTGAGCATCTGGGGTTTAATTGGTAACGATGATGCAGATAGCCTTTTACAGCAACTTCTCGTTTTCCCATGTTGTCCTTATCGGAAACTTGTCCGCAGCCTTCTCCCAGAACACCCTAAAACTACCGGGAAAATGTCTTTTGTAGCTTACTTGACGTCTCAGGGGTGCGTTGTGTACATTGGAGGAGCGGAGTGGTGGGCTGCTGGTGCGTTCTAGCTGAGTCATCTCTTCGGAAGTCTCCTCTCGGTTGTGGCTGACTTCAGGGCAAGGTCAAGTAGGGACAGACCGAACAAAGTACAAAGATTTTGGAGCTGACCTTGAAGTAGTTCAGCTGGAAGGACTGGCTGAGGAATCCGTTGGGTAAAGATGGGCTCAAGGGGCAGCTCTTTTCTCTGCCTGGCTACCAGATTTGGGTCAGGGCTGGTCAGGAACAGGAGTTCTCAAGGCTGAGGAGCAGAAAGACCAGCAGAGTTAGTCATTCCTGAATCAGAAGTCTGTCTGGAGTAGAATCCAGGGGTTAACAACCTCAGGTTTTGTGCAGTCAGCACGCACTTGCAAAACGTGCTGGTGCAGGAGTTCTTGCTTCGCCGGGACCCTGTCAATCCCTGGCACGGTGTCCCGTCACTGCTGCTGTCAGGTGCTCAGCTCCGGAAGCAGAGGGGTGTGTTGGATGAGAATGTGCACTAGTCAAAATGTTCCTACTAATGTGGAATTATTTTGTGTCCTTTTTTATTATTATTATAAAGTATTTTAATTTTATTTTACCTGTCAAGTCCTGAGAACTTTGAAAAGAGGTAAAACTATGCAGGTATAACCACCAGCTCACCTTGTAATGCTGAGGGAGTGTAAATCGGTTATTGATCATCATAACCAGGATATTGTGGTGAGAAGCGCTGTAGGAAAGCCTGTAATAAAGACTAATTCCTTAGCTGGGGTAAAGCTTAGTATCCGGGGAATGAGTGTGGCCTTAATGATACGCAGAGTAACGTCTCGAGTGTGGCACCCATTCTGAACCCTGAAGTGGTGGGTTTAGGGGTATTTGAAGCATCACGTTGTGCGATACCTGTTCCATGACAGATCTGGAAAGGTGTAAACTAAGAGTGTTCGGGCAGCCTTACTTCTGATACTCCTCAAGCTGCAGAGAACATTGAAGGGCTGAAATGTGTGATTGAATTTAATGTTTTTTAAAATAAATGATGACAATGAAGGCTAGGAATGATGCTTTTCATCAGCATCCCATGTTTTTCCTGTAATAGGTCCCTTTTGTTTTACAAGGAACGGGCTGATACGGGGGCTGCAATAACCAATGCCGTCTCTCCTGTGACAGATGTGCATGGCGACGTTTGAGCATGACATGGAGAAGGCCTTTGCCTTTCAGGCGAGTCAGGACAAAGTCTGCAGTATCTGCATGGAAGTGGTGTATGAGAAACCGTCAGCCTCCGAGAGGAGGTTTGGGATCCTTTCCAACTGCAATCACACGTACTGCTTGTCTTGCATCCGGCAGTGGAGATGTGCCAAGCAGTTTGAGAACCCGATTATAAAGTAAGTTGATGTTAACCAGAGTCTCTTCTCTGTGGCCTGCGTCAGTGAGATGAGCGGAGACCTTGTTATCCTGTGCTCTTCAGTCACCTCTGTCCAAAAACAGTTAACTCCTTTTTTTCTATGTATGTGCTTAATTACTGGATTTTTCTCTCAATTATAGCTTACTCGAGCTAATTGTCCCACTAATCACAGATTTATCTGTATCTGAGTAAATGCCTTAATCTTCTAGCTCTATTAAAAATGTATTCCAAACATGCTCCTCCTCAGATGAGAGAATTTAAACCATCTAATTAGGGCAATTTCCTTTTTTGAGCATCTCTTTGAAAACTCTCTCAAGTAACAAGCATGCTGGGGAAAGGGTGGGAAATATTTTCAGTCTTCTGCCAAAATAGACTTTTCTGCACAACTGCCATCATAAATTTAATTGAATTGAAGCTCATTAGGATGTAACCTGTATTGGAGTCGAGCTTCTGTTGGACAGGTACTGAGATATTCTGCCTACAGTAGGGACTGTGAGCTGGGTTTTTTTTCAGAAACAGTGCCCTGGAATCCATTCTGAGTGTGGATTAAATCTAATACACATTCTTCAAATGTGTTTTTCACATTTCTTCATAATGGTGAACATACTGATTGTTGCAAAGTTTATCTAAAGAAAAGTCAGATCACACTTCAAAAGCTTAGAGACCTTCCTTTGTCTTTTTTCAACTGGTTTGGCTTTCGCCACGTGGGAGCCGCGCTGCTTGCGTAACAGATACAGTTTACTTCTTCGTGTTGGGATTAGCAAATGCAGTTTACCTCTGCGTACTGAGGAAATACCTGTTATTTTTGTTTAAGTCTAGAAACAAACGCAAGGTAGAGCAAGCCCTGACTGCACTGAATTGGATTCTTTCAACTGAAACTAATAACCAGTGTGCGCATGTGCTGTACTAACGTGTGAGGAGGTGTCTGCTGCTTCGGTGTGACGAACCATTTCCCTTTCCCTTGGGGCACTGCTGTTTCTGGCAAATTTATCGAGGGGTGTCACTCTTGGAAAGTAACAGCATCACTGGTTTGTCTTGATCCATTAAGGTCTTGCCCGGAGTGCCGTGTGATATCCGAGTTTGTCATTCCAAGTGCGTATTGGGTGGAAGACCAGGAGAAGAAAAACGAGCTGATTGAAGCATTCAAGCAGGGAGTGGGGTAAGTTCAGTAACCGCAAACACTGTTTACATTGTCCTTGCGACAGATACGCTAAGACTTAGTCAATCAAAGTGCCTGTATTTTTAAACTGTATGTAATTACAAACCATTCTACAGCGAACTCTTAATCTCTGTTAATGCTTTTATTTAACTTTGCGACTGCCACAAAAGGGTCTGTAATGTAATTATAGATCAGAAATTATTCAAAACTTGCTCTGAAATGTTGAAGCTATTTCAGTTCACTTGCCGAAATTGGCTTAATGCGTTTTCTGTTGATCCCTTAGACGTGATTGCCTGGAAGGTTGTCAGTTACTGAGGAACACAAATAGGGAAGGAAAATGTAATAGTCTCTTGAAATACGAGATAAAAATTCACGGGGCTTTTGTAATGTCTCCTGGGAATGGAAAATAGTAAATGACTGTGTTCCTTTTATTGTCTAATAACGATTTGCCTGGTGCTTGGAGCGCTGGGAGCAGCCTGCCAAGGAGTAGTTCTACAGCAGTGTTGCAGAGCTGTGCTCGCCCGGAAGGTGTAAGGGTTGTGCCGTTCACAGAGCAGTAGGACACCATTACTCACCCTTTCTAAGGTAAATGGGCAGAGCTGTGCTTGGCCCATGGGAGCGATGAAGGTTGTGCAGCTTTATTCTGTGATGTGCGCCAACCTTTAAACATGCCCTTTGGAGGACAGAAAAAATTAAATCTGTGTGTCGCTTTTTCAGCTGCTTGGGGAGCTCTAAGCCTCTGAAGTCCTGTTATAACACAGCAGAATGAAAGCAGCACTACGTTAAATGTTTAATCCAGCACCTTGTCTTGTTTTATCTTATAGTCAGGCAAAGTATCTGAATAAAATTAATCACTTTACATGGAGGTTCTTCAGCTAAGGTTTGTGTTCAAGACCCTGTTGCTGTTTTGGTTTTTCATTGTGGTTCATAAGGACTTTGAGTTGAGGGTAGTAAGTTGTGCTGAAAAGCCTCAGGTTAACGCAGCTCTGTGTGGGCATGTTCTGAGCAGGGTAAGCTTTGTGTTCCTGGAGTAGCGTTGGAAGTCGGGTTTGGTTCTTGTCAACCTGTTGTATAGAAGAGAACGCAAAAGGGGTTTTCGCGTAGGTGCTCAGCTAAGACAAATACCGTGTGTGTTGTAGATAAAACTGTCTCTGGTACAGAAATTCTATGGCTCTGCCTCTTGGCAGTCAGTTTAACTTGTGGTTTTAGTATTGCACAGAATGAAAAAATGCTAATAAAGTGGAGTCTAAGCTAAAAGCAGAGGCTGTGCCAGCACAAATCCATTCCAATTTATATGCCAGCGCAGGACAAAAAAAGTCAGACCTAGAACCCTGGAAGTCACAGCCCACTTGAGTCCTAAACCAGGACAAATTCATTCGCTTTTGATGCACTGCCTGCTTTGGGGGGGTTTGGTGGTCTGGGGTTGTTTTGTTATTCTTGAGCTTTCTTCTCCATTGAGTTGCTATTTGATAGGCTGTAGCTATGTCTTAGGGACCAGTTTCATCACTATTTGCATATTATAAGTTCAATTGCATTTGCAATTGTAGTTTCCTCTTCAGCTCATTGTAGCCCAATCCTGCGCTGCCCCCTCCCAGTACTGCTGTACTGGTGCTGTACAGAACACCTTTATAAAAACAGCTACAACAGTGGGGTTGAAGAACAAAGCTGATGGAAGCTTAAATTAATGAAGTATTGTCGTAGAACTTCCACAGGAGACAATGAGAGGAACTGGTTCATAAAAATGTAGTGGTAGAAAATACAGGGGAGGAATGTTGCCAGAAAAATGGTAGCGGATTTGTTCATTATGATGAAAATGCACACGTAGGGTGGATGAGTCTCTGAACATCTTTCACTTTCTATGTCTTAAGGTAGTTTAAATTTTTTGACTTACAATGCTGTTCTTTTCTGTATTTCTTTGTTTGCTTTTAATAAGCTTTCCTATCCCTTTTGACTGCCCTCAGTTAGGGAAGGGGAGACAGAGCAGTACTCCGCATCACTGACAAAGGATGAGATAAGCAGCTATGGAGAGGCAACTCTGTCTGCTTCCTCACTAGCTGAAGGCACTAACTCTCTCTTCTAATTAAATCAGGAAAAAGCCCTGCAAGTACTTTGAACAAGGGAAAGGAACCTGCCCGTTTGGTGGGAAGTGTCTTTACCTTCACGCTTACCCAGATGGGACGCGAGCTGAACCTGAAAAACCACGGAAACAGCTCAGCTCTGAGGGGACTGTGCGGGTAAGGGAACGCTCCAGTCGAGTTAATTAGTTTTGAAGGTGAAGTGCAGTACTTCACTGTTCTGTACCACACGTGGCCTTGGTGAAGCAAAGCAAGCAGCCCTCAGCTTTCCTTGAGGCACAGGTTTGTTGGTAGGGACAGGAGACGGCACCTTTCATTTAATAGCAAACATTTATTATCATTTCATTTTTTTCAACCAGTCCTTCTCCTGGCAAACCTTTCTTCAAAGGAATTCTGCCCTTAAAGCTTCCACCTACAGTATTAAAAACTTGCCTCACGTGCCTGCATACGGCCAGTAAGACCAGCTAAAAAGGTTAACACCTTCTCAAAACCCCCTGCCTGGGCAAGGCAGGGCTCCTCCTGTCGCACAGATACGGCTCCTTCATGCGGGCTACATGGACCTCACGGTATTCCTACTGCAACACAAAAGAGAGCGCTTGTCACTTGGAATTTCACAGCAGGTGGTGCCGAGACTGTTAGTAAATCCTGCATTTACTAGAATCTCAACTTCTGACTTCTTTTGAATGAAAAGACTGATAAGGGAAAATACTTTGGTGGAAATGTGGCCAGTACTGGTTCATGCTCAGTCAGATTTTCTTCTTTTCCAGTTCTTCAATTCTGTTCGTCTGTGGGACTTCATTGAAGACAGAGAAAGTAGGACTGTGACCAGCACGGATGACGAAGTAACAGAGCTTGGAGAACTTTTCATGCATCTTTCTGGGGCTGATGAGGATTCTGCTACTTCTCAATAAAGAGAACTCAAGGTGCTTTTGGCTGTAGCAATGTAGCTATTTATTTAGCGATGCTTTGACTTTACAGCACGGTTAGAATGAATGTGGCCTGTGGTTTCCTTGTGCTGGTAAAGTCCTGGTAAAGTTTTCAGATAGTTTTTGTATGGCAACAAAAATACTAAAATATATTAAAAAAGTTAAATTGATTGCATGGAAAAAAATCCCTTAATCCCAAGAGGGTTTTCTCCCTCTTTGGCCTGACACGTGCTGTCCTGTGAGCTGCGTGGTAGTGTAAATACAGCTCCTCTCTTACCATTTAAAGCTGAAGCTGGTAAAAACTGTTGCTAAATCTATTTTGGGTGCTTTTTTTTTTTTTTTTTAACTAAATCAACTAAGTATCTATTTATAAAAACCCACTGGGAGGAACAGTAAGTGTAGCTTTTTCTTCCTCAAAAAAGGAGATTTAAGAACTAATACACCATACCTCAGAGTAGTACCTGCAGTTGAGAGTCAAGTTGACTGTATCCTTGCAGTGCGTGTTCCAGCAGCGGGACCTGGACGCTGCCTGGCTCTCAACGACCGCGTGAGTGACGTTCCTACCCTTGTTTTAAAACACCTGACGTGTGCAGTGGCAGGGAGTGTCTCGCGGAACACCTGTTGTAAAGCAGATATGACTGTACTGATGAATATCTTCAGGCAAAGCAATGCTGGGGTCACTGCATACAGCTAAATTAAACTTACAGCACAAACAGGATTTTGGAAACTGTGTGATGAGAGTAAGTAGTTACTTCCAGTAGTCACTACAACAGTAATAGTTACGTTTTTTGTTCAATTTAATTAGTTCAAAGGGATTTAACTGGAAGGGAAACCTTGATTCAGTTAAATGAAGTAGCCAAAATTAAAATGAAGTAACTAAATGATTTTCTGATCTCCTTATTGACAGTGATCTTAGAGTTTGCAACTACAGAACAGAAATAATTTCAGGTACAGAAGAAACAATTAGTTTTAACTACTGCTTTTCTTAACTAGACCGTGTGGCTGGTAGATCCATACCTCTAGCAGCAGTGAGACCCACTTTCCCTGGAGCTCCCCCTCTCCGGTTGCAGATACCCTTACTAAAAGTGCAGGCAGACATTCACAGTTTTTGCGATTTGATTGTGAAATTTGATACAAGAAGTTAATTCTGCTAAGTCATTTGTATTAACTTTGCAGTTAAACTAAAAACTCAGCCCAGACACAACTGAAATGGCTACTGATTAACACAGCATCGAAACACTCGAGTACAAGCAGCGTTTTCTCACGCGCACTCAGCATACGATCCTAACGTAAGCAGAGGGCCGATCTAACCGACGGCTGGAGGATAAGGCTGCGGCCCCCTCAGAGGCTGCTTGTCTGTAAAGACTCGAGCATTTCGGAAAGTGTGATTGTTGAGACAACAGAAATTATTTGTATTGTGAAGCAAAGTATATTTGGAGACGCTTGTGCAAAACCCTTACATCAGCAGAGCAAATAGGGCGCTGCTTTGAGGGTTAGTAACTGCACTCTGGGTCACTGCTGTAAAGCAAACAGCAGGAACCTTAATCTGGGATTTAAACATTTTTAAACACCACCAAATTAGTGAGTCCAGGATTATCTGCTTCAACTATCGGTTGGCATTTCTGGGTCAAAACTGAAGCTGGGAAAGGTTCTGGATGGAAATACGCATTTCTGTGAGGGTTCCAAAAGAAGGGGGAGCGCTCCTCCCATCGCTGCTGGCCAACACTTCCCTCAAGTTGAACACACGCATTTTGCTCTCTGTTCTGACCCAGGAAATGTAACTTTTCCACGCTTACTTCCCCCTAAAGTTAACCTTTAACAATGCTTACTGCAAAGCTGGGCCTACAAAACCTTGTCAGGATCTGTAACCACCTACTTGTCAGCTTCTTTTTTAAAACTGGCATGTGAAGGTCTTACTCTAGGAAGTCCTATTAATTACAAAGGTGAAGGCAAATAAAGTATCACTGAGAGAGATGTGGTACTCCAAGGGGAAGGTTATAGAGCACTTGCCCAGGCACACTTTCTACCGCAAAATACTTAAACAGCCCTTAGAACCCCTGCTCAAGCTTGTTTCTAGCTCGTCTTGCACATTTTTTTCCAGAGAGAAATTCAGAAATATACCCCAAAAAAGTCAATGGAGAAGATGTTCGTTACCTTAAACAACATTCCTGATTTACTTTACCCCAAGAAGACATAAACCAGGTAACAGTAGTCTGAAATTAAAAAGCTGATAACTTGTTTTTCAAAGCTACCTAGGGACAGCATAAACAGAAGTTTTCATATAAGAGCAGTAAGACTTAGAAACTCAGATCTTCTAAATTCTTCACTTAGCAGCTTTCATCTAATTTGACATCAAGTGCTGGTCAAAAGAAGCCTATTTATCAAAAATACTTTAGTTTTTCAAGAAACATATAACCTGTTTTAAAAATGGAAGTTAATGGTTTCTTTTTGGAAATTAGAGCTAAAGTAAAAGCAGCTTACCATTTCTCTTTTTTTCCCCCTTAAACTTATTATAATGAAGGTAGAAGGAGAGGTAAGTGACATTTAGAGAGGGCTGCAGTTAAAATACCAAGAATATTATTAAAAAAAACATGCGGAACTTATGGAACAGTTTACTTCAGCCCTCAGTTTACTTTTTAACAAGCCAATTTTATGTTCCTCCTGCTCAGTTACCACCTAAGGATTAATATTCGACCCTTCTTAGAATGTTATACAATACTCAGAAAATAAAACCTAGGTGGTTTGTCCTCAAAGTATGTGTCTGACTTACCGTGCTTCAAGCTCCTCTCCCCTTTTGCTTTGCGGGCATTTTGCTTGCTGCAAGTAAGAAGCTGAAATGGCTAGGTGGACGTGCCAGGCAGTTGAGTTGCACATGTGAGGTGTCAAAATTCACAGCAAAAGTATTTTGCCAAACAAATTTTAGGCCGCTGTTTAGATTGAGGTAACAGTGGTTACAGACACCTCACCTCCTCACTCGGCAGTGTACTCATACTGATCCATATGCACAGAGAAAGACACCAAATCCCAAGCTTCCATTCCAAGAATGGAAACTTGGCTTCCATTCTTTCCCTAACGACGTATTGAAACAGAATGCTGTATAAAAAATAATTTCTTAGATTAAACCACCTAATTTTTGTCATCTGCGGAGTTCAGCCAAGACAAACACTCACTTCTACATAAATAACAGGTTCACGGAAGATAAAATGCAGAGCAGAAGTGGTGCAGTTAAAGAGCTTGGTAGTACATCAGTGGAGGTATCTGAGTAAGTACATGCTGCAGTAGAATAAAAAACATATTGCAAAGAATGTGATTGGAAACTACAGGTCATCATATCAAGTGTGTTTTTACTTAACTGCTATTACCTATCCCAGTAATGTTTTAGAAATTATTCAGAACGTCATTTTCTGAGTTTTTCTAATCTAGATGTACCTGTCAGAACTACGGATTACTACATTAAATGATGACATTGAATCTTAAACCTAAAATTTAATTTATTTTATTAAAATAAGATAATCAGAGGAACCTTGGCTTACAATAAATGCATTTTCTCAGGAGCAATAAAAACAAAATTAAAACCCAAATCAGCAAGAAAAACTGTATATGCTCAGTTTCCTCTTGATAGTGCATCTCTTGGACGACAGCTTCAGATGGGACAAAGACTACGCTCATTCTGCAGAAGTATACGGATAATGTTAATTAGCCTTTTCTCAGCCACAAAAGCCTGTCTTTCCGCACTTACCACCTCATTGGGCTGCAAGAAACAAGTCAATAGTACCAAAGTAAGCTGCTTAAGTTACTGAAGATGACCGTAGCAAGACTGGCTAGCTTCCTTCTCTGAGCAGTACAGTTCAGAATATATTCCATTCTTTTGCAAGAGTTTTTCTTCTATGTGCAAAACTATTGCAAACCTATTTTGTGTTGAATTAGCATTTTAACTTAGTTCATTGGCTTGACGAAAGCTCTTGGGCAGGAGCCGATTTCCAGAAAGTTGCTTTTTTTTCCCTCTTCCCTCAGTCTTGTTTGCAGATAACCCATTTCAGGGAAAACTCCCCCAGCCTGAAGTGGCATATGGCACAGGGCAATCGAGGAGCACCGTAACGCATCGTCTTTCCTCAAATGCTGAGGCAAGCCATCCTCACTGTAAAAAAAATGCCGATTTATCAACAGATCCAAATCAATCCAGAAACACTGCCAAAGAAACATCCATCGCTTCTGTGTAGGGGAAAAAATAAGGCTCAAGTGCATCTATTAAAAAAATAGTAATAGATCTCTTGATTTATAGTCTGTTAACTATCCCAGTAAAAGAAACTGTAGAAAAAGGCAATGTGGAGCTGTGTCCCTGCAGGGTAAGGACCGCAGAAATCCTTAGCAGCTTGTTCTTAAAACTGGGACGCAGATAATCCTGCTGGCACTGATCCTGTACGCTGAGGCATTAAAAGCACAACTTCTGTTACTTCTGTTCCTTTCCCATCACTGGAGAGAACAAGGGAAGGGGAGCATGATCCTAAAACACGGGTAGTCTCGTGGATGTTAATGTGCATGAATTTATGTCCTCTGTGTGGGCAGCACGATGCAGAGATGGTTCAGAAGCGCTCCGGTTGATTTTGGGTAGAGAATGTTGCAACAGTTCAATGGACGACAGTATCTGAGGGAAACACATCAAATTAAAAGAAGGCTTCTAGGACAAGCAGCTCCTTCTAATTAAGTCTTAAGCCTTCATTTACTATAGCTTTAAGAGCAACACTGTACTGTGCAGAGGCACTGAGAACACCACTCTGGGAATACTCCAGTTTGAATAATCAAACTGCCATACAGTTTCCTTGCTATGAGGAGTCTCAGTGAGTTTCAGAGGATGGGAGGATACTTTTCATTAGTTCACAGACATTGTGATCAATTAACAAGCACCTACGCAGTTCTCCAAGTCACAGGGAAGGAATTGCATCTTCTGCCTACCAGTCTGTTTACAAAACAACATTCAGAAAGCACTTTTTAAACAACAAAAGTTATACTAGATTGTAACAGCAAGAAGTTATTTTTCCAAAAATTTGTTGACACTTAATTCCAGCTATTTAATAAGAAAGTACCTTCATCATCCTCATAGTGACAGGAAAAGGTAAAGTAGCCTTTGTAAACATAGCAAAAATTGCTACATTATTTTACATCCCCCAGTGGATTTTGTTTGCTCATTCATAGTTGTGGGGAAGGAAAGGAGGAACGGTGTCTCGTTTCCCTCACACCTACACTAAAATTAAATGTAGCTACAAAGACAGATTTGAATTTTTCTGTGGTTGGGGGGGGGGGGTTGCCTATCTAAAATGGGTCCGCTGTTGAAAGCAACTTGCTCTAGTGTTAGTCTAACACTGCTTCAGTCTGCTTGCGTAGTATTTTTTAATGACCTTTCCAGGAACTGCGTACAATCAGATGTACGAACTGCTTAAGGGAGGTAGGTTATGAAAAATGCACATATGAATAAAGACAAAAATAGGAAGCAGGCTGCACTTTATAGAAATCAAAACTTGTAGCTATGTAGAATGTTTTGTGTGCTAATGGCTATTTATAAAATACTTTTAAACTTATATGCAGAAAACACACTTACTTGTGGAAACAGAGGTCGTTCTTCCCTAACTTTCTTCAAACAATCTGCTACGAGCCTCTTCATTGCTTTGGGGCAGTTCTTGTACAGTTTACTGAGGTCTGGAGAAGCATACCCTCGGCCAACCATGAAAATAATCTGAAAAAGAACAAGCAAGCAGCAGAAAACCAAAGTTGTAAGAGTTGTTTCACTGGTTGATAGCTTTAACGTCCCAAAGTGATTAAACACACCCAAAGGCACACACACCAGCAGAGCCTGGCAGATTTGTCCAAATTAGTTAATGGAAACAAGGGCCCTGCTTTTGCTTAACATAGGGCATGATTAAATCAGAACGACACTCTGGTTTGTAATGCTCAGCCAGTGAAGGAACAGACTAGGACATACTACATGACATGGCAATTTCCTTCAACTGCAGGCTGCAGCGAGAGCTGAGCCTCCGTCTGAGCAGTTCCAAGCCGCCAGCCAGCCTGGCACAACAGCTTCAGCCCTCAGCAGAACTGTATTTCCAGGTATCTCTGCAAAACGTGTTGCAAAAGGAGACATAACAGCTAGCAAGCTGAAAGAGACCATTCGAACTACTCATAACTAATGCAGCAAAAAAGGAAATGGAGTTTGGTTTGTTTCAAGACAAACAATAAAAGACATTATTAGTGCTAGAAAATACATTTTCTGCTTTAGTCCAAGTTAATATGGTCACTGTTTAGGATTTTCATCAGACTTCCAGTAACCTTATTAGTTGACTATATAGTATTGCTAAGACTATTATCTGGTACAGTGGTGGTAGGTTTGGTTGGTTGAGGGGAGTTTGTTTGAGGGTTTTTTGGGGGGGCAGGAGGGGTACACAGAACTAACTGCTATTGGTTCTTTTTTCAACTAATATCCTCTCGGGGCGGTGGGTGGGGAAAGGTCACTATAATGTTGCCAAAACAAGGTCTCAGTGTTGTTCTCCAGGAAATATTCTATCCCTCCCCAGAAAACTTCCCTGAAGGTCAAGTGTCACATGTTTTGCGACAGTAACCATTATTAAAGCTTGCATATAATTTCAGTATTATGAATTAAAATACATTCCAATATCCCAATCTGTAGACAACCTTAAAAATAAGAAAAAACTTCCTTAACAGAACTGGTCTCTTCTACTTGAATACAGACTATGTAACACAATAGGGGATAAAATCCAGTAGTTTGTCCCCATACACACACTTTTCTCATAAGCTCTTAATTTAAAAAAAAAAAAAAAAAAAAGCCAACAAAAAACACAAACCACAACTGAGGATCAGCAAAACAGAGATCATAAAGATCTAACAGTGTTAAATTCATGCCCTGCAGAACAAGTGAGCTCTACACTTTGCTAAGCCAGAAAAAAACATTCATGTAAAGAGAAGAGTGGAGGTGTCTGTCCTTAATGTGTGTTTTTATAAGTATTGGTTAACTGACTGGTTAGAATACAACTTAGTAACGGCTACATCACACAAACTAACATGGAACTAACATAAACAATACTAAAAGGTTTGATAATAGCCAGCATTTTTTTTTTCACTTAGTAAAAAGCACAGAATCCAATCTTGCTGATAGAAGAACAGCATATTTAACATCAAAAGGGAAATTTCACATAACCACAAATACATAAACCAAGATTTTACTGACGTAGCAAAAGCTTTACCCTATGAACAAATTAACAGGCCGCTTAAAATGTTTATAAAAAGAATATTTCTTTGAGTAACTGTCACTGTCAATATTTAAGTAAACATGCAATTAAACATTAACTGCTGAAACAAATCATGTTGTAAAGAAAATTTTGATTCTTGTTTTGCATTTGTCTTTATTTTACATTTGTTGAGGACAACAAAATGTACTATGCCCAGAAATAAAATGCAATATTCAAAGAATGTTTCTTACCTGATCTCGGTTGTTTATGTGGGAATATGGCAACTCCCCTGTCATTAGTTCATATAATACTATTCCATAGGAGTAGACATCTGACTGAAAACTAAATGGGTTACTATCCTGCATCCGTATCACTTCTGGTGCCTGTCGAAGGAGGAAAAAAGAATCAAATTATGAGCAATATTAATAGAACTTAGAAACAGAAAGGACAAGAGAAGGGGAAAATATTTGGAAAGCCGAGAGAGTAAGCTCAACTAAAAATGAGTGAACAAAGGATACCTCAAAACCTTTGATAAATTTTACCTAAGGCTCTGGAAAAGTTCAGGCAGTGCTACTCTACATTTTATTAAAAAAAAATCAGTACAATTAAGAGTAAACAAAAAAGCAATGCTTTAATCCAACGATCATTTTACCATTAGAAAAATTATTACTATTCCGATCTGCAATTTTACTGACTTTGTTACATCTTACGTACAGCTGAGCCTGAGCCTCTCGCTATCGGCTCTTAAACAGGTATCCGTGTTAAAGACCATTCTCGCATCTTTGCAAAGCAAAGGAAAATTATGAAGCTAAAGAACTTAAAGTTGAATGACTTAATAAAACAAGACATAAACCATCAAAATACCTTTCCTGTTGACTAAGAGTTTTTTCCCCTAAAGATGACCCTCAGAATTACTGAGCAAAGTACTAGTTAAAGTACAACAGTCAACATCAAAAACCCAGTAAGAGATTTTATCAACTTTCAAGGAAGCAGAATCAACCTCCCCTTCTACGTAATGACAATTCAGCAAAGATGGTCTATAAATGATTAAATGACAAAAAAATCTGCAAAGAGCAAAAGTGCAGGGTTTTTTCCAAGATCTGTTTCATAGGCATACCATTAGGTAAGTTAGTTTTAAATCCTTTTACGAAAAGCTGTAAAAAGCTTTGGCTTTTTGCGTATTTTTTTAAAAGAAAAAACTGTTTCTGTTTTTGTAACTGTTTCAGGTGATTTGAAATAGGCAAAATAGGCTAGCTTAATAATAAAGAATAATTTTTAAAAGGGAAAACCTGTTTTAAGTAACACCTGCAGTTCATTCAGGCTAAATATCAAAAGATTTAAAATGTACTAATATGTAGCATTCAACAAGTCATTTTTATTTGGTTACATTTCCCTTAAGTACATGCCACACATGTTGCTGCATGCCCTGTCCTGGGAGCTAGAAAATATTGATCAGTCTACATGCAAAAAGTAAACTGCACAGTATTAACAAAAATGGGTGAAGTGAAACATCAACAAAATATTTGAGTGCTAAATAAGACATTCTTGCATAATTTTAATGATGCTTTTTAACCTGGTAACAGGCACTGTTCCACTTTTTCTATTTACTTTATGAAATCCCACATTTGAAAAGTTACTAAATAGATTTTCTCCAGGTGATTTTTGGAAGGAAAATTGTGGAACTGCCTTTTAAGTTCCGGCAGAAGTTAAACATAAAGGTGATTGTTGGGAACGTCCTCTCAGACAAGGACTTTGCAGTACCACTTCCAAAAGAAACTCCATAAATTTTCCAGTAGAACTTGAGAACTTTGGTACCTGAGCTGACATTCATCCGCTACGGTTCTGAGCTGCCTCAAAACCTACCGTGTCTCTCTGGTGCCGGGGTAAGGAGCAGCAGTGGGCCCAGCAGCAATGTCTTGGTATATATGAAATGTCTCACTGCAGTACCAAAGATGAATTGCGCTCATTCCCGTACTTCCAGAAGCATTCCCTATCCTGTCCCCTGTCCCTGCCAAAGCTGCCAAACGTGTGATCAGTGAGCGTGTGCGAGAAGGGATGTTGCCGAGTCCCAAGCAGGGAGCAGGGGAAGAAGAGGCCGCGATGAAGAACATAGAGAAAGACAGGGTCTCGCCGATCCCACGAAGCCACCATTAAGCAGATGAAAGCTTGCTCTCCCTGAGAGAAGCCCATTTGGGGAAAGGCAGGATTACGGCAGGAGAACGGCTCTCCTCTTCCCTCCAACAGCTCCCTGCAGTTCCACTGGCAGCCCTAAATATTTAAAATAACTCCAACTATCAAAAGGAGAATCTTTAGGTGGATGGTGTCTACTTTGGACAATTAAGCACTCCAGCACTTAATTCTTCAATTTTAACTGGAATAAAAGTCTACACAGTACTAACAGCATGTGTTGATTCATTTAGATTTAAAGCTCTAAAATAGCATTCAGCTGACAAGGACATACACTGACAGAACGAAAGGCAGCTATTTAAGAGCAGTGAAACGTTCCGCTCACCATCCACAAGATTGAACCAGTGGGCTGTTCCACTTGTTGAGATCCACTCCACCTGGATTTTACAGTTGCCAGACCAAAGTCTCCTATTTTCACTGTGAGGCCTTCGTGAAGAAATATATCTGAACATTTGTTAAAGAAATTCTGTAGAAAACTTTAAACAATTCTGAATTTTCTGACATGATTACAAAGGGTCTGGGTTGGGTTGTCACAAACGCAAGCCAACTATCCAAGAAGTTTGCCAATTTTCTTTTAAACCTGCTACGAGTTGTATCATAAACAGAGGAAAAGTCATTTTATGGCATCCATATTTACAGAGTTAACTTTTAAGACTAAACGAGACCAGATGTTTCAGCACTATTTGTACATTTATGGTGAGTTAGGACAGAAATCAACTGTGTTAGTTAACATCAATGACTCAGGTGCGTACATAACTGGTGTCAAAAGACACATAGGGAAACAACACAGAAGTCATCACAACTCAAAAAAGAAAACTAAGAAAAAACAATTAGAAGTAGAGACAAATATCAAAATAAAATCTATTTACATACCGCTTTCTGGCCGGTCTCCTGAGATTTAACTATGATTGAACTATTTCAACTGGAAATACACACATCCGTACTATTTGTAATCTATCTACTTAATAGATTTGTCTGCTAAGATTGATAGGTAGCACTTTCTTTGTTGAGGTTATTTTAAGAAGATATAATTTTACAATTTCATTTAAGAATGTTTTAAGTTCAAAAAGATGATTCAGAAATATAAACATGACAGACGTCTAGTTCTCATTTTCATGTCAGGAGAAGAGTTAATTTATTTCACAAAAACGGTCATCATTATCAGGAATCACAAACTCCTGATCTCCTATTACTAAAATGATTATTTTTCTAGCTGAACTGAAAATGGGAATCCCCTTACATTAAAGAACTACAGAATCAGGCGTGGTTTTTTATGATGACATTTGCAAAACATTCTGTTCATGTTTTATGAAAGGAAGTTAAAATTTATACTGCTAACTCAACGGATGCTGCTCTTGGCAATTTCAAGGGTAAAAGACATCAGTTCACGGCATTTTTACCCCGTATGCATTAGTACATTTGTATTTTTGCAAGAAATACGGTGGTAAAAGGCTGCCTTTTCTTGAAGTAAATTCTTAAAGTAAGAATTTTGGCTTAATTTCATCCAGTCATGTGAAGTTGTTTTAAATTAATTAAAAATATATGGGAAACAGTAACAAAACCCAAGTGTGCACACGTACATCAGCATGCACATGCACACATATCTCCGGTCAAGTAAGGAGTGCAGCTTCTCACCAATACAGCATTTGGGTAACAGAGAATCGCATCAACATCAGTTAAGTAAAATAAGACGCTTTTGGAGCACAACTGTTGCACATCTTTTTTTCATCTGTATTACAACAGTTAGGTAAGCAAGCACATATATTCTGTGAAAGTCCTTGCTAAAAAGTAATTTCTTACTCATTAGTCATTATATGCATTTGAAACAGCTATTTCAACCCCCAAAAAGCTCAGTATTAACAACAAATCACTCTCACATTAAAGGAAATACAATTAAGTTTGGAAAGGATACTATTGGATTTCATGTCTCTGTGGATGATATTCTTTGCATGTAAATAGCTGTGAAAGAAAAAGCAGGAAAGTGCTATTATGGAGGCTGTTCACATAAACTTAACCTTTCAATTTACCAATAGACACTGTGACAGTTTACTACATACTCAACCATTTCACAGACCTCTTGCTTTAGTCAATTTACAGGATGCATCTACTTTGGGAAAAGGGAAATGTAGCAAGCGCTAGCTGAGGACTACTGCCTCATGCATGACAGAAAGTGGAAGCAATGCAGTAAAATCTCAGGAAATGAAAGAGTGGCATCATTGTTATGGAACTGTATAATGCCCTGGAAAACTGGGTGCTGTCCTCATATGTGTGAAAATGTTATGCTATGCTAAGGTTTACTTTTTACAAACTGCTTTACTTTGCAGCCACAATACATGTCCCTGGTATTCTGGGTGTCTGACTGGAAACCCAGAACCTGATCTACAAAATGGATGAGCACTTATAGCTTCGACCAACGTCAGCATCTTCTATGCTACCAACATTATAATGTGTTCTGAAAGAGCCGTGAGGTGGTTATTGTATCAACTCTGACACCTGCGTGTGAGTCCTGTAGCTGTAGAACAGGAACAGCCATCCCCTCATCTCACTGAAGTACCACGAGTAAAAATTAGTGTTTGCCAAACACTGCAGTGTTGTAGTAAGTAACACAGGGAAGGAAAAAAAAAAACAAATTAATTCTATGTTCAGAAGAGGATCTCATCTAATGCATTACAGTAAGACCTCAAGCTACAAAAGAAGATAAAATATAGAAAAGCTGACTTAAGTGACTAATGGTCTAACATGAACTAAAGACAAGAATCCATGAGGAAAAAAAAAACCCCACTAAATGAAAGTAAGAATGCATACGACAGTGCTGAATTAAGGCTGCACAAAATCTTTACTTGGTATACCATTTTGACCCATTACTGTTTTAGCACAATAACTCCACATACTAGGGTTTGGGGTAGAGAAGAGAAACACCATTCCAAGCACAAAAATAGCCAGCATTGTTTATCCTACTCACTCCATTCCCTGTGCGGTCTGCCGAGCAATGTCAATGAGCTGGAACATTTGGAACTTGGTCTCTTGAACGTGTAGGTGTTTATACAGACTGCTTCCTTCACACCACTGCGTAACAATGGCCAGATTATCTTTAGTCATGTAGCCCATAAAGAGCAAAATATTAACATGCCGAGTCTTCCTAATGGAAAGTAACAGAAAGAGAAATTAGTTTATGAAAAATATTTTCAAATTCTTTTAAAAATACATTCCTGGCTGAAGGAATGTATTTCAGCTTTTAAGTCCAAAATGATGAGTTTCCTGCAAAATTTTTGCTAGGTACATGTGTGCGTAAAGTTTGGTTTTAAAAATAAGAAAAATATGCCACAATTGCCAATTTATAGTTTTTAAATAAAATCAGCTGATTTTCTGCTTTTTAGTTAAAATACTTCCTTTTACTTCCAAGGAAGCTATTTAAAAATCAACCTTTAAGAAAAAGATGTCAGGAAAATTCAAGGGTTTTGCAATTAGTAACCAATATTCATGCTTGCAAGTGGTATTGGAAAAAATTATTGGAATAACAGAAATCACCCTGAAAACTGTGAAAAAGTGACAACTTGAGATAGAAGACCGAATTCCAATAGGAAACTGTGGAGGAATTAACAGATGAGAAGATAGTTCCGATGTACTCCAACTGGTTCAGTTTCAGGATTAACATTACAGATAGTTAACTGGACAGTACAAAAACAGTATTTGAAAGCAGAAAACAGTTATGTAGATCTGAATATACATTTTTTAAAAAGTAATTATGCTGCAATTTTAAAAGGTACAGTTCAAGTAGTCTGTCTGGTGGTGAGAATTATGGCAGAATTTACTAATCCTCACCTTTTACTGCATGCCCAATGTGACCTGAACGATTATGGATGTTAGCATTATTTATCTGAAAAGACAACTTTCAGAAAGAGTGAAGAACCACTAAAATACTCTGAATTCTGATTGCTGTCTCAGAGCTCCACAACAATATTCAGAAGTATCACTGTATGCTCTCTTTTTGATTATTCTTCTCTGGAGACCTGCTTTTTGTGTCTATCAAACATAGAATATTGGGTAAGACGGCTTAAAGGAGGGGTAGTAGTCAAATACAGTGCAGTGGAGTAACAGAATTTAGCAGCGAAACTACCAACTCACCTTAATACAGCCACTTCATTTCTGAAAGCCTGGAACTGTTCTGGGGTTGGATCTACAACCTTTAGTATCTTCACTGCTACATCCCCTGAAAACACATTTACCATAAGAGTTACTAAAAATGCAGCTTTTTTTTTTTTTCCCCAAAAAATAACATTAATATATAGTATATTTAAAATTCCTAATTTGCGCACAGTATACCTCTTCTAATTTGTACACAGGTCAAGATTTTCCTGCAGACATATAAACTTCCGTAGTATCAAGCAATTCATTTACCTGAATTTCAGTCTAACAGAAAAAGTCATTAATTGTTCACATGCTTCCCTTCTATTTTTAACAGCTACGGCTGGCTAGAACTACACGTGCTTTGTGCAGGATACGAAGCTACTAAATCTCAAATAGTTGTTGAAAAGGAAGGTATTCCAGTACAGGTGCATTCTCAGCACATTATTTCAAGCAGTCACCTCAGAGTCTCTTGGCTTCCAAACAGTATCCAAAGCTTCATCACTTCCCCTTTTCTATCCAGCTTTAGCGCACATATATAGACACACACACCCCCCTTTGTATTTTTATATAATTGATATATTAAATTTTTTACATATATATATGAA